CCCGCCGCCGCCGCCGCCGCCGCCGCCGCCGCCGCCCCCCTCCCACAATCGGGTGGCCTGCAGGAGATGAAAACAGAAAGGAAAGTCCCTGCAATGAGAAAGAGGCAGTGTTACAGCTAAAGCTGCAAGGAAACATCACAGACTGTGTGAATGGGTGTGGTTTTGAAACAAGATCTTACAATGTAGCTCTGGCTGATCTGGAACTCACTAGGGAGAACAGGTTGGCCTGGAACTCACAAAGACACGCCTGCCTCCTCCTTACCCAGTGCTGGGATTAAAGGTGTATTCCGCCATGTCCAGCCCGGTGTTTGGTTTTTTGTGAAGATGCTGTTTATTACTTATGTGCACCATGTGTGCAGGGAGCCAACAAGGCCAGAGGTTGGAGGTACAGGCAGCTGTGAGCCATTTGATACGGGTGCTGGGAACAAGGCTGGGTTCTTTGCGAGAGCTAAACTTGCTTTCTCTCTCCGTCTGCCTCTGTCTCTGTCTCTCTCTCTCTTTTTTTTCTTTCTTGTGGGAGTCTGCTGAAGTCCAGCTCCAATCTATCAAAGGGTTCTTGGGTGGAGGAGAGAGGAATGAGGAAATATTAGGTAGAAAGATAGAAAGAGACATAAGAAAGACAGACAGACACAGGATAGCTTTGGAAGCCCTGGGTCAATGCCCAGTCACCTCGAAGTTTATTCTAAAGGGCTTTTTGTACAATGCCAAGGGGAGAGGCAAAAGATGTCCTCCTTTCAAGATCAAAGCACAACGTACAGCCAAATATAGACCCTTCAAAACACCTGATAACCACACTCATGGCCAAATAATTCCTTTATACAGCCCTGCTGGGTAAAGCAAGCTCAGATTCTCTGACCTTGAGGAAGGTCTCACTAGGAAGTCTCTGTGGGTCTCCACACTTCCTTTCTTTCTTCCTTCCTTCCTTCAAGACAGGGTCTCTCTACGTAGCCTTGGCTGTAGACCTTGTAGACTTTGTAGACCAGGTTGGCCGGGAACTCATAGAAATCTGTTGTGGGATATTTGATCACTCTGTGTGAAAATGTGTCACTATTTTATTCTGATTGGTTTAATAAAAAGTTGAGTGGTCAATATCTAGGCAGAAGAGGATAGGCAGAATGTCCAGGGAGAGAGGGGAACTGGGGAAGAATCTGAGGCACATGGGACACACCAGCGAGACACTGAGGAAGTCGGATGTCAGAATGAAGGAGAGGTAAAAAGCCACATGGCAGAACATAGATTAATAGAAACGGGTTAATGTAAGTATTAAGAGCTAGTGGGACAAGCCTAAGTTAAGGCCAAACTTTCATAATCAATAATAAGTCTCCATGTCATTATTTTGGGGCTGACGATCCAAAAATCCAACAAGAAAGACCAACTTCAGAGATCCACATGCCTCTGGATCAAAAGGCGTGTGTCACCGCCAAGTGAGTTAAGCTCCGCTCCCCCCACCCCACAGGGTTTCTCTGTGTAGACCTGGCTGTCCTGAAACTCGCTTTGTAGCCCAGGCTGGTCTCAAACTCACAGAGATCCGCCTGCCTCTGCCTCCCGAGTGCTGGGATTAAAGGCATGCGCCACCACTGCCCGGCAAGCTAAGCTTTCTTAACCACTGAGCCCTCTCTCCAGCCCCCAGATAAAGCATTTATCTATCATCTATCTATCTATCTATCTATCTATCTATCTATCTATCTATCTATCTATCTATCTATCTATCATCTATCTATCGATTTGGTGGTCAGACTGGCCTCAAAAGGGTTATGTAGCTGAGGCTGGCCTTGAACTCCCACAATCCCCCTTCCACCTTCTAAGAGCTAGGATTATATAGGTGTGCACCATCACCCCCTGGTTCCAAAGTGGCTTTAACAACAGAAATGTCATTTTCTCACAGTTCTGGTCCAGCCTCATTGTTTCTTTGGAGGTCTCTCCTTGAAGTGGCAAGTGTCTCTTTCTCTCTCTCTCTCTCTCCCTCTGCCACATCATCTTGTGGTTTTCCTCTATATGGATGCCCTTGTCACTCAAATCCAAGGCCTCAGAGGATTGTTTTGAAATGTGAAAGATTTGAAGGACTCCATGGAGCTTGGACATTTTATTACTCACACAATGCCCAGTGTCTGCATCTTGCCTGTAAGCAGTAGGAATATACATAAATATGTAAACACAGTCCTGCTGGAGGCTGCATTAACTGACTTCTAACTGGTACCTTCCTTGCCTCCCAAGCCCTAATTTCTTTTTCTGCTTCAATGTCTTCAAAGGAGGGAGGTGGCCAGACCCTCTCACATCAGCACCTGCCTTTACGGTCCGCAGAACACATGCAAGAACAGGGCCCCTTTGACACTTCAGACACTGACGTGGTCTCCTTCAGCCAGCTCAGGATCTATGCCCACATCTCTTCATTGTACAAGGACAGTGGCCACATTGGATTCGAGCCTCCTCAAAAAGCTCCATACTAACTTAACTTAAACCCATCCTGAAGGGCCTTCGCTCACTTTCTGAGATTTAGCATATGGATTTTGGGGGACACTATTCAGCCAAATGCTGGGTTTGAGACCCACGGGCTGTTGCCTTTTTTTTTTTTTTTTTTTTTTTTTTGGTCCTGCCCACCCAGTATTCTCTGGTGTCTTGCTTTGCTGTCAGAACCTGCTAGCCAGGTGGCTTCCCAGGAGACACACCTCACCTTCAACACATCCCAAGAAAATTCTGTCCCACTCAGCTGCTTCTGAGGGACACAGATTTCATCTCAGCTGTCTCCCACTGTGCATGCTCCCGAGAAGCCGGGTGACAGCCTGAACTCAAGATACCGCGACACCCCTGGCTTCGGGAGTCAGTGCTGCTATTGCTGGGATGGAAGTACAAGGAGGTGGAAGGGGGGTGCAGGCACTAAATTTAAGTTTTGGGGGGCTGGCCCACATGACAAGTTTAGACTTAATAACTTCACGTTCTTTCTCACTGTAGTAATTGATTCTTAGCTCCCACACTTTCAGTAGAACAAGACTGACTTTTAAATGCAGTTAATCCCATTTCTTCCTCACAGCTCTCTGTCTTAGATTGGATTCTGCTAGTTCCAAGAATGTGGCTTTTTTTTTTTTTTTCTGTGAACCCAAGCTTGGACCAGTGAGCCACTTCAATTAGCCAAAACAACCCATTAAAATCAGAGGATGAAAATAGTAGTGTCCTGGGGCTCATACAGAGACACATACTCTTAAGAACTTGTTAAGGAACCTTGGGCTTTTGCCTGTAACACCAGGGGCGGGAGGATCACAAGTTTGAAGTCAACCTGGTCTCCAGAGACCTGTCTCACCACAACAGAACAGCTGACTATGCAGGGCACGGGTAGGGCATTGGTGAGGCTTTAAGGCTGACTTCCAGCTCTGCACAAAAACAGTGGAATAGGTTAAGTAGAGAGCACACCCAGGACAAAAAGGAAGGGACCAAACCCAGGTCCACAAGAATCTTTTTTTTTTTTCTTTTGTTTTTTTCCGAGACAGGGTTTCTCTGTGTAGTTTTGGTACCTGTCCTGGATCTCGCTCTGTAGACCAGGCTGGACTCGAACTCACAGAGATTCACCTGCCTCTGCCTCCCGAGTGCTGGGATTAAAGGCATGCACCACCATGCCTGGCTCCAAAACTAGTTCTAAGAGTGGGGTTGCTGGGCTGGAGAGACAGCTCAGCAGTTAAGGGCATGGCTGCTCTTCCAGAGGACCTGGGGTTATTATAGTCAGCACCCATGTGATGGTTCACAATCATGTATAACTTCAGCTCCAGGGGATCCAACACCCTCATCTGGCCTCCATGGGCACTGCATGCACATGGTGCATTTAAATATGCAGGCAGAACACCCATACGTATTGAAAAACAGAGCGCAGCTGCTCTGAATCTGCTTCCGAATGGCACCAAATCCATTTG